GTAGCTGGGACTCCAGGCGCCCACCACCAGGCCCGGTGAATTTTTTTTTTTTGTATTTTTAGTAGAGATGGTGTTTCACCATGTTAGCTAGGATGGTCTTGATCTCCTGACCTCGTGATCTGCCCACCTCGACCTCCCAAAGTGCTGGGATTACAGGCATGAGCCACGGCGCCTGGCCGAATTTTTATAAGCCATTTAAGAAAATAAGAGAAAATCTATTTCAGAGAATTGTTGGTAAGATATTCCTGTTTTCAGAGGAAAAAGCATTTTACACAACATCTTAATCATATGCTCATGTTGACTGAACTAGTAAAATCTAATAAAGCATTTTATTCCACAAACCATAAAACAAGAGGTTTGTGATTGTCTATGCATATCTACTGGGCATGCTCTATGTCACATGATCTTACCAGCCTAAGGTCCACAAAACTTAGCACCAGAGAATCTCAGAGTTGGAAAGGTTCCCATATGTACTGTCTATATTGTTTATACCACCCCAGCATTTCAAGGACTCTCCCCGACAGAAAGAGGGCCATCTTGCCTCCATGTGAACATAGTCAAGGCTGGAGGGTTTGAAAAAGGTCACCTGGTCTAGGCTCCACCAGGAGGCGTGACCACCTGGAACACCATCCACAGAGCTTTGGGAAAAGAGTCTGTTTTAGATGAGACCAATCTTCCTTATGTCTTCCTCGAAGCTCTCTACCTACCATCTACAAACCCCCTTTCTGTCTTTTATGGAGAATTTGTGTTCACTTTCCCTTGAATTACCAGCTACTAAGCTGCTGTCCAGACTGGTCTTTAATCTCCATTAAGTTGCCCTTATAACCTTTCTTCATAGTCCCTCAAGGCAATGTAATAGAAAATGGAACTGAGAGTCAGAAGAACAGGGTGAAACAAATTGCAAACTGGCTCTGTGACTCTGGGCAACAGCATAAATAACAATCACTACCTCGCCCCTCAACACTGCTATTTATTAACAACACACTACGGCCAAGTACTGTAGTAAACGTTTTACGTGTATTACGTTTTAAGTAGTTGTCACAGCAATCATAATTTGAGACAAGTTCTTTTTTTTTTTAATAACTCTGTATCGTTCCAATTTTAGTATATGTGCTGCCAAAGTGAGCATAAGCAAGTTGTATCATCCCTTTTTGCAGAGGAGAAAAGGGAGGTACGCAGAAGTTGGGCAAGTTGCTTGATCACATGTTTAGGAGGTGAAGGAGTTATGTTGCTTCGGTCACTTTTTTCTTATGTGACTCAGTTACCTTACTAGAAAATGGGTAGACTGGACTAAATGTCTTTTCCTCTCAGCTCCAGGGTTCTATAACTCTGTAATTTTCCTCTATCTTTGTCTTAAACCTAAATTACAAACTTGCTCTGAATCTTTTCAATGTTCAGAATTCCAAAAATCCAATTAATGCCAGGCACTATTAATATTTTGGACTGGATATTTTAGTTATGGGGGCCTGTCTTGTGCATCTGACTTGGCAAGCTTCGCAGCATCCCTGGCCTCTACCCACAAGATTCCAATAATCAAGACAACCAAGAATGACTCCCATCACTGCTAAATGTCTCCAGTTGACAGCCACTATATTAATGTACTCCCTAATCCTCGGATTATTTGTGCTGCTTTTCTTAGTCTTTGTTTCAATAATACAGAACAAAACAAAAACTACAGCTAAAAAATAATGTAAAGATTGCTGGATCTTGAACGTCACGGAAATAATTTCACATTTGTTCCTCTTTTAAAAAAGGTACAACTCCACATGTGTTCATTTCAACTTCTAGTCAACTCTCTATATACAAACTATGTATACACAGATAGAGATATCTGTATATGGGAAGAGAAATGACTGGCATTGGTGGGAGATGCATTAACAACCTGCCACAGCTCAGAAGAAGAGACTGTTAAGGTAAAAGTATAAATTAAAGGTATTTTGTTTATCTCTCTTGCATCTGTATATTTGGAAGCACCTTACTACAAAAGTCCCTGGTACAGTAAAACCACAAACCCATAAATCAAGGACTGAAAAAAAAAAAGCAAACTAATCTCAAAGGAAAGCTACTTTTAATTACACAAAGGTTTTACCTCTTTCTGAGGCAGCCTAGGCAGAAAAATAAAAGTGGATTATGGAGTCTTCATTATTCAAAGAAGCATACCAGACAGCCTTATTCCAAGCATCGAACAAAGCAGAACTCACTGAGATAGTCTAAGATGTTAAATGATATAATGATTGAAGTTGTGTTTTTAATTCAAAAAAACACAGAAGTACTCTTCAGACTTCCATTTCTCAAAATATAAATTATCAGTGAATGTGTCTCACACCATCACCCTGGCCATCTCTCTTCCTCACTACTCTGTAAGCTCCTTATGGGCAGAGTCCACTTCTAGGACAGCGTATACTCTGCACCTAGAACAAAGTAGCCATTCACTACATTTTTGCTGAAAGGAAGAAAGAAAGGAAGAAGCAAGGGAGTATAGAAGGAGTGGGTCTTTGCTTACCCTGTATTGATTCAAATGGTCCCTTTGCCAAACTTGACCATGTGTAATTCTAACCATATACTTATGTGGTTGACTGACAGCTTTTTTTTTTTCTGTTTTTGAGACAGAGTCCTGCTCTGTCGCCAGGCTGTAGTGCAGTGGCGCAATCTTGCTCACTGCAACCTCTGACTCCCTGGTTCAAGCGATTCTCCTGCCTCAGCCTCCTAAGTAGCTGGGATTTCAGGCACACGCCACCACACCCAGCTAATTTTGTGTTTTTAGTAGAGACAGGGTTTCACCATGTTGGCCAGGATGGTCTTGATCTCTTGACCTCGTGATCCTCCTGCCTTGGCCTCCCAAAGTGCTGGGATTACAGGCCTGAGTCACTGTACCTGTCATTTTTTTTTGTTTTTTTTTAACCATTCCACATCCATCACCTTTTCCTCAGGGGAACGAACCACTGTATCCCTCGCTCTCAATTTAAGTGCTTGTGTAGACCTGACTCCACACCCAGAGATAAGGAGAGGATGTATGACTCCAGTCTGAACAATCAGAGCATCGAATTCCCCTGGTAAAAGTCACTGGTTCAGGGAAGAGCACAGTCCAATTAGAAACCACAAGACTTAGCAGAACACTTGCTGGGGCTGAGAAAGCCGCACGTTTTCTGCTGTTCTGGAACTGAGGAGGATGTGGCCTTGGTGCTACTGACATCCATTTTGCCACCATGTAGAGAGCTTGAGAATGAAGGCATCACAAAGCAGAGTAGAGCCGAGAGATGAAGACAGGCCAGGTCCGACAGGCAGCATTATGATCCATGAATCCAGTTGTGCCTGAAGGAAACCAGATCTGACCGTAGACTTGCCAGGTAGGTGAGGGAATACATTCTATTTCTGCTTAAATAATTTGAATCAAGATTTCTGTCACTGGCAATAAGAAGCATACTACCTGACACAGCCCTTTGTTTTGTCCAACTCCCTGACTGGCCTCTGACCATCTGCAGCACCAACCAGTAGGGGTTCAATACGTGTCTGCTGGATGATTAACAAATCAATAAACAAACTTCTCTAAGAGCAGGAAGTCTAAGAGATATACTAAAAATAATACGCTATGGGTCTAGAAAACGGAAAGAGGACAGGACAACTATAAATACAAGGTCATGAGCGTAGATGAGCCAGATCAAGGATCAAGAGCAGTTTCAACAGGATTGTTGTTCTGTAGATTTGGGTCACCACAGGTCAAGTCCCATTGGCTGAAACATAACATTCTGCATGTATGAAAACACACATTTTCAGGAAACTCATGGATCAGAAAAATAAATAAATAAATAGAAAAGACATACTTAACTTGAATAGTCCGAATTTAACTCCTGACCCAGTAAAACACCCCCACCAAATATGGGCTAAGAACTTTGGCATCCTGGGTTGGTTTGTAGGTCAGAGATCATGGAGTTGAGGGTGACCCGAGAGAGCATGTGAAGGTGAGACTGAAAGGCAGTTGAAGAGTCCAATTAAGGCTTCAATTTTAAGAGACTGGACAGAGAAGCAGAGTCCAACTCTAAGGCACTGGCCCAAACCCAGACCTTCTGATAGCCTCTTGCTGCCTGAGGCGAAGGCTGGAGGGAGGTCATGAACTTGTAGGAACACAGCTGCAGGGAAAGCTTTATTGAGCTCCTGGGGCCATGGATGAAGGTAGAGAACTGGAGCCCACGGTCAAAGCTGGGCTGGCTTGGGTAGGTAGCCTATACGGAGGTCAAGGGTTCTGTCAAAATCAATGCTTCTGTTTATAGGGTATTGGCTCCATTATGTAGACAGGTAAATGGGAAAATGAGGAAGGGAGAAAACACTGACATGTAGGAATAGTCAATAGACAAAGAGAA